ATAAAGATAGATATAGATATAAAATATTTGCCATTGTTGTAAATACATTGTTGTGTGTGATCAAGTTGGAACCAACTCACAGCTGACCCTCTAGCAGTTTTTTTCAGAAACAGTAACTCACACAGAAGAGATTGCCAGTCTTCCATGGAGCAGCTCATGGAATTAAAGTGCATTTCTTTGGTTTGACAGTGCAACTTCTTACCACCAGAGCTCACTGTTATAAATATATGTGATGAATTATCTGGCAGTTAGTTGAATTATGCGAGTCCCTGTGTGGTACAAAAGAATAATACTTTTGCTGCTAGTTCAAAGTTTGGAAATTTGATAGCCAGTGGCCCTTGGAAGAAAGACCTGCCAATCCATGCCCTCCCCCCTCCCCAAATCAAACATTGAAAACCCTATGGAATACAGTTGTTCTTGACACACCTGAGGTCTCTGTGAGTGGGGCTTGACTTGGCGGAAACTGGTCGTTACTGAATTTATTAATACTTAGAATCAGTTTTTTAAGATACAGAGATGTATTTATATGTTAAGTGATTAAAATAGGCTACAAATTGGAATCTTGACAGAAATATGCATTTGAAAGAAATTTGCCAAAATATTAAACATGAGATACAGCTGATTGTGGGATAATGAATAGTTACAGTTCTGGTTTTTTTTATACTTTTCACTCCCCATCTCACATCACATTTCACTTTTATAGTCAGGGGGAAAGAGAAACATGAAGAAAAGGATGAGTGTGCACCTGTCTCTTTGTTGCAGCCAGGAAAGGTTTGCTTTTCCCGTGGTTAGTGTCTTTAGAGACCTCAACACGAACATCTCAGCAAGAAATGTACACGGAATCCTTGTTTGGCCCTAGGTGGAGAATCTCTTCCCAGAAATCTTTTCTGCTTAAACACTGGGCTATGTTTCCCTTAAGGGAATATCACTGATGGTTCAGTGGTAAAATTCCTACCTCTAATATGGGAGACCCAGCTTCCCAGCCAAAATGAACTCCATGTGCAGTGACAACTGAACTGTTAGTGGAGGCTTAAGAGTTGGCTATTGATGCTGAACACATTTCAGCAGAGCTTTCAATACTTAAGAAGAACCAGAAGGAAAGGCCTGGTGATCTATTTCTGGAAATCAACCAATGAAAAGGCTATCGATCTCAGTGGTCCAGTCCACAACTCTTCAAGACGATGGTGGTGCAGGAGTTGGCACTGTTTTTCTTCCACTGAGCATAGACAGAATCACCATGAATCAAGGAATTCCATGACAGTTATTGAAAGCAACAAGTCCTTGACAAAATACTATCAAAAGTACTATCAGTTTGCCTCTTTGATGGTCTGTTACTTCACTATGCAATATTCCAAATCAAGTAACTTTTCCAGTTTCAAGGTCCCTTGACTTCCACTTCCTGAAAAGGCCAGTTCTCCATGGTGGTTAATTCCATTTTCCTATCTTTCTTAGCTGACTGACTCAAAGTCATTGATGGCAGACTCTTACTTCTGCTGAGATCTCTGGGCTTTTGGGGAAACTGCTATTTGTATTTCTAGTGAAGTATGTCTATCATCCACTGTCCATAATATGTCCATATGATTGTCTGATTCAAAGGGGCCAATGCCAGTGCATCTCAGCTCACTAATATTGAGGATGTCAATCTTTAAACTTCCTATTTTCCTACATTCATACTTAGTACATTACATGTTCCAATTATTAATGGATGTTTATAGCTATTTCTCCTCATTTTAAAAATATTTTTCATTATAGGGGTCGTAACTCTTGACAGCAATCAACAGCAACAACAAACCTCTAGTAACGCCCAACAGTGTTCTTCTGAATTGTCTGTAGGGTTTTAAAAGGCTCCAACAATCTTGGAGGTTCTGACAACTGCCAGTGGGGAACTGGAGAAAGGGATAAGATATCTTTGGGCAGGATTTGTGTCATGTAGCCTCTAGTTTTGTGATTCAGAGAAATTTAAAAGGACCCATCTTCTGGAAAGGTTAAGAGCATGCTATCATTCTTTTGTGTTTAACTTGTTTTCTGGGAGCCTGTAGCATTCCAAAAAATCCTCATAGGTTAGGCATGAATAGGACTAGTTCATTATGGATGGGCAGTCTCGGTGGTGGCTGGCGTAAATCAGCAAAGAGCATCTATGAGGTAGCAGATAAGGCACTCTCAGTACCCTTGTTGTTGTTATGTGCCATCGAGTCGACTACAACTCACAGAAACCCTGTGAACAATGGCTCTGAACCTTGCCCTATCCTGAGCCAACCCCACCATTTCTGACACACCTGCCTCCAATGTCACAGTTACTGTGTCAATCCATCTCATCTAGGGTTTTTCTCTCCTGTGTTGACCCTCTACCCTTCAAAGCATTCTCCAAGGACTGGGCCCTCCTGGCAACATGCCCAAAGTATATGAGATGGAGCTTCAAAACCCTTGTCTCCAATGAATAAAATGGTTTCACTCTCTCCAGGACAGACCTGTTTGTTCTCTTGGTAGTCCAAGTAGTTTCAATACTCTTCACCACCACCACAACTCAAAAGACATCGATTTTTCTTCTGTCATTCTTATTCACTGTCCAACTCTCAGAGGCACAGTAAGCAATTGCAAAAAACTGTGAACTGGACCAGGCACACCTGAGTCTCTAGACTGACATCATTGCTCTTTAGCACTCTAGAGAGGTCATTGATAACACATTTACCAATGCACCTTGTCTTTTGACCTCCTGACTGCTGGTGACAAGAGTGTTGTTTGTAAATTTGAACAAGATGAAATCATTGACAACCTCAA